GATAAAAATTTGACTTGGCGTCACGTGGCGTGTTGTTTATCCGATGTGGCGCCTTCATGTTAATATAATAATTTCGCTATTGTCAAGTAGAAAAGAAAATTGACACATTGCAACAATACACACGCTTATATAATCAATCGGCCCCAAATCGAGACTCTGAACCCTAATTGAGAGGCTCGACCAAGAGAGAGAGAGAGAGATAACTGATGTCTTCTACTTCTTCCAGCTCGTCGCCTTCTAATCTGTTTTCTTACTGTGGTTTGAGAGCTCAACTACGCACATCAAGGATTCCATCAAACCTTAGTAAGAAATTTCACGGTTGCGAGAATTGGCAACATGGGGTTGTAAGTTTTTTAAATGGGAGGATGAAGCAGATAGCTCGAACAATCGGCTTCTGGCCAATGAAATTGATTGAGCTCAGGAACATATGTTATTGCTTCAAGCCGAGAACGAAAATATGAAGGACAGTGTTGAACTCCAATTTCAGAAAGTACAAAACATTTATGTTGAAGAATTTTCAAAAATTCGACAAAAATATGGAAGCTCGAAGTGTTTGTTGGTGCAACATGGTTTCTGTTCATAATTTTATTTTTTTGTCATGTGAAAGATTTTATTTTTTTTCACCAGTCATGGATTAGTTGTGTATGTTTCATCATTGTACTGGTTATCTTATTTGAATGACAACTTTGTTTTGTTTGATGAATGAACACTATGGGTGTGCTATATTTTTGTACCTATGTTGTATGGGATATGTTCAATGTGAAGTTATGGGTTAATTTTGGTCTTATTAATATTATTGGTTTTGTTGATCTTATTAGTAGTTCACAACCAGTTTTGTTTTGTTCAATGTTCATGTTTATTGTTTATAACAATGTTGATGTTTATAGCCATTTATCTGAAAAAAAAAAAAGAAAAACTGAACTAACTAATACATTCCTTAACCAAAATTCCAGATTCTTTATGCACAAAACAAACTTATGATCAACATCATATACAAACTAATGATGAGAACAAACTAATTATCAAAACCACAAGATCAACAACCAAAACTTTGAGTTCATTTTCATAACCATACGAGCAAAACCATAACCAGAACCAATTGTCATTTCCAGAACCAAAATTTATGCATCCATTCATTTCTTTTTTTTTTAACTTAATTGTTTAATTAAAATTTTATATGCCCTTGTAGTGTTCTTTCATTTTCATTCATTTAAAATTTATCATTATAATTTAAAAATATTAATATATATTTTTATTGAGAATAGAATATAAAAAATTATATTAAATGAGTGGATAATGTGTAACACCCCGGACAAAAATTATATTAGTAGCTCGACTTATCTATCGGATTTAGTATTATTTTAATTATGCGGAGAATTATTAAAGTTAATTGCATAATTTATTTATTATTAAGCCCAAGTAGTATTTTAAATAATCGAGCCTAGTAGCAATTATATTACCGAGCCCGACATTATTTATTCGGTCCAAGTAACGGTATTTATTTTCCTAACTCGAGCCCAATTTAAGCCCGTTTTTATAAGCCCAAGAGCAAGCCCAATTAGTGCAAGAAACCCTAGTCTTCTCCCCTTCTATAAATAGAACCCCTTAGCTCATTTCCACCACAAAAGCAAAAACTTATCCTATAGCACTATTCATTCATCTTCTTCATTATACCATCCTCACTTTCAAGAGCTTTCAAAAAAAAAAAAAGAAGAATCAAGAACAAGCTTCATTCACCACCATCCGTGTAAGATCCGGCCATCACCTCCCATTCTCCGGCGAAAACCGCAGCTTCCCGGCGAGTTTCCGGTGACCCCGAGCCCGGGAAACCTCAGCCCGCGGCCCCAGCTCGAGCCCAAGACCAAGCTCCTCCTTCACAGCCCAAGTTCCTCACCTCGGGCCCGCTCAGCCCGCAACAGCGACCTCCAGCCCGTTTTTCCGGCAATCGACGAGCAGCTCACCTCCGTGCGTCCTCCAGCCAAACCAGCTCACAGCAGTTCGCAGCTTTCTGGCGTACATGTTAGCAAGCCGAGTCGCAACCACTTCCAGCCCCCATCCACGCGAAAGGCCCGCAGCCCGCAGCCTGCAGCTCCCCTACGCGCGCCGTCGCTCCCAGCTCTTCCGGTGAGCCCACAGCTGCACCGGCGACGGCCCCACCAGCACGACCCCAACCTCACGCGTGAAGATTTTGTTGGTGTTATATACTTAAGCTTTGCTTTAGTGGATATTACACTTGTTATTCCTTGATGAATGAGAATTATGTTTGGTTA